TATTATATATATTATATATTATATATATTATATAATATTATATATAAAATTTTAGTATATGCATTATATTATATTTTATATATATATTATATATTATATATATTACGGTAAGATCACTGACCTTGGTCACGTGATTACGGTATATATAAAATATTATATATATATTATATATAATACATATAGATGTACAATAGAATATTATATATAATATACCTACGTTTTTAAAGTCACGTGATTTTAGTTACGCGTGTTGTTTTTCTACTCCTCCCTCTCACTATTTTTTTATTTTGATTTTCATGCGTTTTTTCTGACATCTTTCTAATATGTATTATATGGTTTTGTAAGACGTATGTATACTGTCATCGCGGTGACAGGTTGTGTTCATTGACACAACACGTTAAAATAAAAAACAATAATAGCGTTCGCGTAGCGCGCGCGCTTGTGTTGCGCTAGTAATTAAAAAGAAGAGTTCGACCGATTGATTCATCAATCGCATCTACGACGCAATTGTGCAAAATGAAAGTCTACGTAAAAAATAATTTTTTCTAATCACAAACCTTTCGACGAGAAACATGCGTGTTTTAAAAATAATTTCCCAGCTCTTCGAAGCGAATCTCGACGAATAAAAAAAAAAAATTCGCGCTCACGAGGAGGATTTCTTTTATTCGCACGATTTACATTACGCGCGGAAGATTCGCTCGGAAACGAGTTCGGTGCTCCCGATCGGATACACGGAACGAAGTCGTAAATTGGACGAACGGCGGGGCGTAATTGGTGAATCTCGTTCTTCTTCGCGTAAAGGAGGCTGAATTAACGGTTAAGAAAGGTGATGCTTGTCTCTCGATGCACGTGTATATATACAAATTGTGTGTGCTCTCCTCTCTCGTCGGCGAAACGTTGCGAATGCGACCGAGTTCCTACTGCGGAGACTAGGCGTAAAAAAGTCTCTCTCCGCGGCGAGAGAGCCACACAAATTGCGCCTCTCGCATTCGTCGATCGTACATACGTACACGTGATTGCAGACCGGTGACTGTGCATTTTCCGCCGACGATTCCGGTGTCGTCGCTAATTTGACCGCGTGTGCCGTTTTCGCAACGCCTACAACAGACGCGGTTAACCAGGTTTGCACACAATCTCGATGGAAGTCTCTCGAGGGAAGAGATTTTCTAATCCCGATAAATCGCCGCGCGTCTCATTCCCGAGACAGAGAGAGATTGATTTGATTGATTGATTGTTG